ACTATAAAATTTCAGAAAAAATAAATTTTAATTGTTTATAATATTTTAATTATATTTTTAACTTATATTTTACTAAAATATGCGTAAAACATATAAAATTTGCATAGCAGCGAGATACTATCGTGATATTAGTTCGTGATAAGTCAGGAGATTAGTTATAATTTTTATTAAGAACTCGCATAGATTTCCATAAATTATTTCATAAAATACATTCTCATAATTTATAGTCTATTAGATTTTAATTTCTCGAATTATATTGTAATAAAACCGCTGGTAACATAACGGAGGCGTTAATAAATAGCTATAGACGAATGCATGCATATACGAAGAGGATGTAGATCGATTGATGTTCAGATTAAGAGAACGTGTGAAGGATAACGAGGGAACAAAGGATAGACGGATGTCTCGATCGACGGTGAATGAAGGGTGAAGGATCCGTCGAGTTGAACGTTTTCGCGTCTCGACGGGAAGTTTCCGCGTGCTTAAGAGCTCTCGAAACTTTTCAATAAAGTGTAACTTACTTTCCATACGTCTCGAATGACAAAGTTCGCTCTGCCACTATCATTTTTCGAAGGAATTTAGGGCGGAGGGAGAGAGATTCTCGAGAGTTGTCGATAATCATTTCTGATGTCTCGTAAAGAAGTTCTCAGTATTATTCCCTTTTGCTTTCGTAATAGGATAGCGATGTGTAGAGACGTTCTCGTAAGATGTTTTTCATATATTTTCCATCACGTTGACATTAAAGCGGAAAATATAATTTCGCGCAATAAAGTGCTAAGCGCGAAGATATCTGTTAAAGTACGCGCAAGTTAGCTTGATTAATGGACGATATTCTTCTCGAGCGATACTTTTAAGGCTTAAAAAAAATTAATGTAATATTTTACATTAATTACTCGCGCTTTTAACAGGTATCCTCGCGCTTAGCGCTTTATTGCGATATTATTTTCCGCATTAATGTCAACGTAATAAATAATATCTTTGTGTCCATCTTCCGCGACATAACGAGCCTTTCTCCTCCGTTATACTGTACGTTCTCCAGCGGAGTTTGGCGGATATCTCTAACGGCCGACACCGCCGCTAATTGCCGTCCGTATAATTACCATATCGGGGAGATAAATATGGAGCTCTTAGCATCTACGACAAACGAGAGACACAGTACGTTGGCATTATACGTCTGCGCTGTTTAAGCGCCCGGGAAAGATAGCGAGGAGGAGAAGAAAGGAGCACAAAGGAGGGGATATAAAATATGAGCTTCGAACACACGAGCAGCGAAGATTTTAACGAACTAATCTACTTGTCGGCGATCTGCCTTACATTTATGTATTAATAAATGTTTCAATCCCTCGCTTGCGTTCGCATCCTCGTCCTTGCTGGTGATTTGTCTATCTCAAAGTCTCGGGAAAAGAGGGAAAAAAGCAGATCAAAGTAACTTTCGAGTTATATACATAACTATCTATCTACAGGGTATATTTAAATATTAGGAGATGATGCTTTGTCGAATATTAAGGGGGATTTCTTCTGTATACTCTTATATTCGTCCCTATGAGGAGAGAGTTGTATACTTTTCTAAAGAGGGAGATAAAAATTACATTTTTATATTTTTAAAAGATATTAATAAATATCCTTTTTATGCACCAAGTTTCATTTTTTAATTTTTGTTTGAAATTTGAGAAAAACAATATAAACCTAATATATTCACCTCTCTCTTTAGAAAAGTGTAACTTCTCAGGGCGAGATATAAAAATATACGTTTAGATAAGAAACCTCCCTTAATTTTCGACAAAGAATCATCTCCTAAAATTTTTTCTACTTAGAAACACTATATATACAGGGTGTTATAAAAGTACCGGAACAGCAGAATAACTCAAAAAATATGAGTCTTAAAAAAATGTTAAGTACTGGGTTTTTATGATTCTTTCCTGGCTATCTGACGGTGACCTTAGCTAGAAAAAAAATCATAAAAACCCAGTACTTGGCATTTTTTCTACGACTCATATTTTTCGAGTTCTTCTGCTGTTCCGGCACTTTTATAACACCCTGTATAACATGCAAAAAGAAAAGAAAAGTGAAATTCGCGCGAAAGTAGATTTATAACGTCATTCTAGATTTACGTGCATGACTGCGATATGAATTCTATGACTTCAAGGTTGCTTTATATATTTATCTCGAATATTACGAAATACTCAATCGTCACAATTTAAAAATAAATCTCAAACGCCGTGTGTAATAGGATATTTTCTAATATAATCCGCATATGTAGCGACGTTATTACGTCTTGGCTTGTCGTCTGCTTTTGTATACGACGAGAAGCAATATCTCGAAAAGAAAAAAAAAAGAGATCGTAACAAGACTCGCATAAACTCCACAGTAGCTGTTACGAAGGATCAAAAGATTAACAATGGCTACCTGACGTCTATTTAATAACCGACTTCGTTATCTCGGCTTTACAAACCTCCATGCGTGTGCTCCGGGAGTCTTTCGCCGGTCAAGCACGAGATATAATTACACGATGCGCATGCTACTCTGTGACAGTACAACCGTTCTCCGTTGAAATGGGGCCTTCACTTCAGGAGAATTCATTATGTCGCAAAAATAACTCGCGAGAGAATATATCGAGAGCAGAAGGGAAAGTTGCTCTCGCCGCGGATGAATCTCTCCCTTTTCTCCTCGGTCGCAAAACACACGCGAGAGTCCGGCCGTTTTCGCATAATTGCCTCCTCGGAGACTCCACATGTATCTCTCCTCCAGTTAACTAACTACCAACTTATATATGCATATAAACGCATGGTCGCGCGCAGCAATAAACGCATCCACGCGTGCGAACAACTCCCGCATGCGGCGCGGTTCGCTAATTTTCCCAACCGCACGACGAGATATTTAACGTCCCGAATGTGCCTCGGATTTCGTCAGGAAGCGATGGTCAGTTTGAGAAATTATCGTGGCGCCACCGTGACGACGTCGAAGCGAGACGTCGCGGTCTCCCACGCGCGCGTTTCTCTTCCTTCGCGGCTTCCTCTGCTTTCTTTTACGAAGAGCCAGCGACCGAAGAGCAAAAGGACGAATGGGAGGACGGCGCGTGCCAACGGCGGCGACGCCTAATTAACAACGCCGGAAATGAAGTGTGCGCGCTACGAAATTAGTGTCCTGAGATATCTATCTGTTCACCTTCCTCTCCTTCTCGGTGGAATGCATTCGCGTCCTAGAACGCAGCGTCAACTTCTCGAGATTGTGTTTGCGAAAAAGTATACTTTCTATCGTTTAATCAAATTAAGACTAGCTTTCCTTTTCTTCTTTCCTTTTCTATCCCCGACGTTGCCGAAGTGAATTTTTTTTTCTTTAGGTATAACTTTCAACATTTTAAATATCTTTTCATAATTGCATCTTAAATTAAATTTCTAAACAATAATCTCTTATTATTATACTTTAATTGCAAGGATATTTTTCTTGCTTGAGAAAAAATATCCTTGCAATTTTAAATTAACCCGCGGAAAGATTTATAAATTTATTAAAGTGAAGTAATTCGAGAATTAATTCTGTAAATATGCAGATTTTTAATCTAAGTTTATTTTATAGAGACATTTATGTGTCGCATAATAACACACTGTAATTATAAATTGTATATTCCGATTGCGATTAATATTCATAACGATATGTGAGACTATCGTGATATCTCTTTCCATGTAATTGCAAACTCTATTATTTATAATGTCGTATGCTAATAATTATACATTCCACAAATGCAAATAAATATGACACATAATAATATGTAACGTCGATTGTTGCGCACAAATATTTTATTATCTACGAGCTGAAAAATTATTATCCGACATATAGGAAAATGCGCGACCGAATCTCTCAAAATTTTTCAAACTTTTACTTTTCAACGGTTTCACTACGCACTGGTAATTGTGTATGTACATGCGTGTATGTCCGGATTAAACCGGGAAAATTTTATATAATGGGTTGATTCAGACCGGATGTACAAAGAGAATATTTAAATGAGAATGTCTGTCTGCGCTAACTCGTGTCATCTGGTTACAAAGCTTTCACTGATATAATTTCTGTATTTTTTTCTCTATGCGAATATCGTAAATTATATAAAATTACCTACGTTAAGAGAATTGCGCTAACAAGAGAGTATATTATAAAATTTGTCCATTGTAGAAAAGCACTGCGCTGTTTCTGCCGGAAGAGCTAAAGACATATCGTAGCGTATACATTATCTAAATCTTTGAAATATACTTTCAAGATATCGCATGAATGACATTTATTTATTTCTCAATATATATTATCAACAAATATTATTAATTATAATTTTTTAAAAAATCGTGACCAGAATCGACTTAATTATTAATGTATTTATTTCATATTGATTAATAATGCAATCGTCAAGTATTGCAGCATGATTCGATTCTAGCCATGAAAAATTTAACAAAAATGTAGCTACAGTTGAAATGAATACCAATATGCTTTTATCCATAAGATTCGACGGACATGACTTCGATTTGTATTTTACAGTTCTCTCTTTTTCTCTTGCATTCACTTTTTCACGACACGCTGGTTACGATAGTCGACATTTGCTGTGTCGCCGTTCACTGTAACGTTGCTACACCGATAGGGTGCGATTTACGGGTAACAACCCCTCACGTGCTAAGCCCCAACGTTCATCTCCCTGCCGCGAGTGTCGTTATAGCGACGTTAAACTAGCCAGACAATGATAAAGCTTTACGATTCAACTCGTTACGAGTGAGAATGCCGAATTCTCCTGCAATTAATCTTCCATTTTAATAACCATGACGACTGATTGTTCATAGCAATAACATATGTAAACTTTATCTACTACATTTACTATTCACTTTGTCTGGCAATATAATAATTATTATCTCAGCTTCTTCTTATTTCTATTATTGCTATTATTATTATTATTTTTTTTTTAATTATATTTTGGACAAAAAAAAACACAGATGGGGATTATAGTCATAGTCATTTCTTTGTTATAGCAAGAAAGGGAAGCGAAAAAAAGAGGAACGGATATACGCATCGCCTCGATATTTTATTTCACCACATGTCTAACAACGGCCCATATATTCTCGATCGTTGCTAACCTCGCCTCGCCTTTCTTTGCTTTCAGGGATTTGCGACCGGTTAGCCTGGAAAAAGGGCAGGAGACCCTCAGACTTCGGGTCTATGCCTGTTACGCCTGGGGTGGGCCCCTGCTGGTCGCCGGCTTGGCGGCTCTTCTGGACCATCTTCCGTCGCAGCCTCAATATACATTCCTGAGGCCCCGCTTCGGCGAGAAGCAGTGCTGGTTCTACGGTAAGTTCTTACATATCCCTCGTCATTTCCGCGTCAACTATTTCGCGGACACGTAATGCCCTCTCGGTTCTCGTCACGCTCAACTATCACGATCCCATCAGATTTACATTCTCCGAGATATCGAGGGACGTGACGTGACGTGATATTGTAGAAAAAAAAAAAAAAGAACATTGAGACGAAGGTGGAATAAAAATCAGATTGGTCTGGTTTGAAAAATAATACATAGATTCCTCCAAAATCGAATCGTCACGCTTTAAGCGTTTTAAGATCGATATTGTCCAGAAAAGAAAAACGAGAAACCTGTTTGGTGTAAATTAATTTCTAGAGAAGAACATTAAGTTTCCTTCTAATTCTCATTGAAGAGCTCGCGATGTGATTTCTATTTCAATTCGATGACACACAATATGACATAAAATAAGCGGTGTCAATATAACCGCACAAAACTAGTACACTCAGTAGCTTCAATTAAATAGAGCAACGCGTTTATTATAGTTAGCTCAATGATGCAATTGGCGCGAATTGCTTGTCGGACGATAGTTCGTGCTAGATCATTGCTTTAATTAAACTTGGCAACGGCGCGGCTATAATCGAGATGCGACTCGCTTTCTGGTCAATATTGTCTATAATAATGTATTATGATATCAAAACGCGCAATGCATTCTTGCAATTCAAAACGATCGACCCAATGGGAATTATGTATAACTACGTCCGCGTAATTAATAGCTGCGATACATTCGTTTCTCTTCAGATCGGAATGAGGAAGCCTTTCTCGTTATCAATAAATAATCCGACCACTTGCAAACTGAATAATCGATCATTTCGATGATTAATATTAATGGCGATATGTCGCTCATCTTTGTGAATTAATTTATTTTCTTCCTATAATTAAAATGTCGATAGTAATCGCAAGAGGATATCGTGAAATTGTTATATCGATTTATAAAAAAATTGCGATCTCTTAATATTCATTTTCTATTCCAATTGTTTCAATAAATACAATATAGGCCGATCATCACAAATTATTTTCATTTAATACACTCTTTATATTTTGAAGAATACAAAACGAATTGGAAAAATCGACGAGGACAGTTTAGTCACAACAATATATTTCAGATATCGGTTTTTCAAAAAGAAAAAAAAAGTCTCTTTACAATGTAATAAGTTTAAACTTAAATACCTCTCATCGTGATTATATCTCAGATTACAGATAGTTATTCGACGATAATAAGATATCGATTTGACATATAATAATGGGGCTTATCATTGAAAGTAATACGTTGCGAACTGTTATCCGACAATCCCTTGTGATCCGATTATTCCGCCAATTAATAGAACTGGTCATCCGCGCTCTCGGAGTGCCGATTAAATTGGTTTTGTTAATCGATCAGTCGTGTCGAATTAATTGCTAATGAAGTACCGTCGTCCGGTATCGGCGCGACTATAGCGTCGGAAAATAAAATAATATCGTCGCCGTTATTATAATACGTAGCCATTATCACGCGCACATATTCGCGGATGATGGATTGCTTTCTAAAAGATTTCGCTCTTTTCCTTAATTATTCGAACCTTAATTATTCGCCCCCTAATTATATCCCGTGAAAAAAAAGCGCGCGAATAAAAATTGAATCGGACGGATGATCTCGATTCGATGAAGAAGATATATTATTTGAAATATAATAGAAAGGAAACTGACATCCGATAAAAATTTTTCTTCCACGAAAACAAAATCGATAAAAGAAACAATCCATAGTTATTAATAAAAAGTTATTTAAATACATGAATAATATATTCGGAATTTTTTTTTCCGTACGCATGTAAAGCCTCCGCGGTGCGAATATAAAATCGAAGGTTTTATTAATAACATACATTGTTAGCAACAGTACTCGACTGTGTGACAACCACTCACTCGCGCAAGAGGATTACACGCTCGCTGAAATATTACATATATAAATCCTGCGAGCTCTCGTACGCGATTCTCCCCCGGCGCGGCGGTATGTAATTATCTGGGCGTACAAATAAATCGATTACAATGAAGAACAAAACAAAGCGACCGCTGCATCGACTTCCGCGCGGCGCTAGCGCGCGGATACTTCCGTAAGAGGATTACGCGCCGGCCGAAATATTGTATTTAAGTATGACATGGGGTGGGGTAGCTGAATATAAGAAGATCGATACCCCGGAGGAGAGCCTTTAATACCTCCGGATCCCCAATAATAACCGGCCCTATGCGAATCTCCCTATGCCTGCGGATGCCTCTCTCTCTCTCTCTCTCGGAAGCGCGCGGAGATAATAAGGTTCGACGTCGTAACTGGCAACGGATCTTTATTCGAGCCCCGGCTATACGGTTACGGGCTATTTAACGACCCGTCCTCCCGTAATCCACATCCCGTAATCCGGCGCGTACACTCCGTGTCGTTCTAAAATCCCTCGCGTAGTAGACGCACGTAGACCCGGCCGCCGATGCATTAATTCCGCCACGTCGATCCATTCTGCGCGCCGCTGATTAATACTTACCTTTTACATGCCGGATCCACCGTTGGCCCACACCCTGCTCTGTCGTGACCAGAGAGACTGCAATTACAAACAAACCCACCCTCGTCGCGCGCGCGCGCGACGCGGCGCCAATTTTTCCCCCATCTGGCGAAAAAAAAAGAGAACATCAAAGAGTTGACGGGGATAATAATTATAGGCGCCTCCTGATTGTGGATGCAGCGCGTTAATGATATTTTGTAACTCGCGTAAAAAGCAATCGCGAGTATACAGGTACAAAGCGTGCGGTCATGTTTAAACTGTTAATGATAAAATGAAGTGATAGTCTCGCGGGCGACGAAAAACATGCAGCGTAATAATTATCTGGAAAAAATGATGCATTAATAATATATTTATTATTTTTCCATTTTTTATACATTATAATTCGCAAAGATTTTTTTACGAATAAAACTACAATCGGTCAATACTAGCAATGCTTTCTGCTCGCGCTCTTTTCGACGTTTAATCTCAGAAAATACTAAGCTTTGAAAAATTGTTATGGCGCATTTCACATCGCCAGGCTTCAATCTCTCTTTTCTATCGCCGTAAAATTTCACCTTACTCCTATGAAGAATACCTGGATCCACACAAAGGCCACACCTGGCAGATAAAGCCACCCGCTAAAATCGGGATAATGGTCCCTCGTGAAAGGCTGCGTCGGGACTATCGCGGCTTGTTTTTCGTGACACAATGCTGTTGCAGTAGACGAGGGGGTATACTTGTGCTACAAACAAGCAACAAACCCTCTCCCTTCGTTCCAGCAACCGCGTTATACTCTATAACGGCATAGGCCGAGACGATGGGGTGGAGAGATAAACCTTGGCGCCAGCTAGTCCAACCCCGTCGTGCGAGAAACGGCCAAATCCCCCATTTCCCTTATACCGACTATGGTCCACATTAATAGGTATGCATATACACGCGTTTATAAATAGGCCCTAAGATTGTTTCCTCTTTTGCCGTTGCATTTTATCCCTTACTTTGGAAATTTATAACGTCGACATGAATGGCGCGTTTTTTTTTTTTTTTGCGACCCTTGTTGTGACACGCAATTAATAATATTAACGCAAGAGAAATTTTTCATCGTTGGTTTTTAAAATAAAAATATTCAGGAACAGTTTATGAATAATTAATAACTAGCGATCATGAAAGTAGACTGTCGATAGATTAAATCGCACGCATATAGTTATATTCTTTGACATGTAAATCAATTTTTGCTATCAATATTGTCTGTGTGAAATATTTTCAATAAATCAAGCTTGACGTTTTTCCTCTAACCGAAGATATCTGAATTTAAATTTTCAATCTTCATAGAAGGTAATTTAATTCAGCCCCAAGCGTGAGCATAAAATATTATGAAGGGGTCGCATGCTGTTCAGGCGTTATAATATGATTAATCTATGGCAATGAAATCACTTACCAAATTAGAATAAATAGCAGAATCTCTAGCAAAATAATCACAACTGTTCTTATTATTATCAGTTTGATACATAGGTAACTGTACTATCTGAGAATTTACAGAGAATTTACATTTACTACTTTGATAACCCTGTCCCAGTCAGACGAAATTTATCATGTGAGATTCTCTTTGCTTTCTCTACATACACATGAATATATGCACAGAGAAAATCGTGTACGATCTTAAAGATGTTTTTTGCAAAAGAAGCTGTAACTCTTTTAGCGTGATTTTATATTAAATATAAAGAACATATTTTTTTACAAAACAAATATTTTGTAATTCTAAATATTTTTTTAAGTACAAATAATTTTTAAAGAAATTGGCACCAAAAATTATAACAAAAAAATTAATCAATACCTTATATCAAAATACAAAATACTAAATACATTATCGCATTTATATTCATAATAAATCGATAAAACATTGCATGTCCCATTACACTTTTTAATGCGATTATTGAAAAAAAGAGGGAGAACGCAGAAAAGAGACGATCGTACATAGTAGCGATTAGAATAATCCGAATGGTAATGAAATGCAGAGAGAATTATCGAATGAGAAAGAGAGTTTCGGGAGCAACCCTCGTCTCCAAATCGCTCCGAATCCTTCCTTATTTATCACGCAATTTCATTTATTACTCGATTCAAGCGGATAAAATGAATTGTAAATTCGAGTTTAAAGATTGTTTCTTATACTGCGCCTTGTAAATTATTACAACGTACGCTCACCAGGCTCAACATCTGATGTAACTGCTGTCATTTATCGATTATAGACATCGTTAATCCAGATTAAACGTTTTAAATATTCATTTATCATACCGTTTCTTTAAACATACGAATGTCTCAAAATTCTTGTGAATTAATTGAATTTAATATTGCATAATATATTATTTATTTTTCAACCTCACGCTCTTAATTTTTCACATTTATCAAATATTTGTTGAATCAGACACAATTCTGAGCCGTGATTCACGAATATTTGGACGCGATGCAAAAATGTCGAATCCGGAAGGAGGCCT